ATGTCACATTGAAGGCCCTCGGCCAAGTCGGTTGAGTACTCTTGCCAAGTATTGCATTAGTATAATGTACGTAAACATATTGGAAGTCATGAAGTCATATACAAATGGGTTGAGTATCCCTCTTAAGTACTTCGTGCACTTGTATAACGTACGTAAACACACTAGAAGTCATGGACTCATACGAAGATGATGAGAATTCACATTGCTTAAGTTGCTATAATGAGGTAATTATATGTGGCATGTATGACCCCACTGAGCATGTGGTTGCTCACCATCTCCCCCCTCCTCATTTTCCCCTTTTTTAGGTTGATGACGGTGCGCAGCGGAAGCGTGGTGACCACATTTAAAATATTAAATGTTATTATGTTGTGACACAGTTTAACTCTATATTATAAATGTTTATTATGCTGGTTTGACCTGATGATCTAAGAACTTGGTATGAATGCTTAATGCTTCTCTCTTTTAACCAAAGTTGAAAATGTTGAAATTTGGCTCAAATGTTCTTACAAATCCGTTAATGCCTTTAAAACTGAAATATCTACTTCTGAAAATCGGGGCGTTACATTTACATCGTCGTCCGCAAGAAATGAAAAAACGGGGACAATATTGTAGAGAACTAGGTTTTGCACCTAAAAAATTCGAACCGAATGTTCCTACTCGTTGGAACTCAACTTATAAAATGTTACTGAAAACATATGCATTCTCTTGTAAATTAGAGAAATTCTTTCGTTTTTCTCATTGTAAGGATGATTGTGATGTCATTGTTAATGTCGGTGATTGGGTAAATTGTCACACACACTCATGAAATTTTTTTGAAAAATTTTAAGATGCTACTAATTTATTTTCTGGTGTTTACTATCCTACTTCTCAACTTGTTGTAAGTCAATGTGTAGCCGTAATGTTAGATTGTAGATATATTTTTACTAGAGATCCTGACTTACATGACGAACTTGTAAGAGATATGTTAAGAAAATAGTTAAATATTATTTTGTTATTCCCCATAAATTTTTATTTGCAGCTTTGATAGACCCGTCATTACATGAAAAATGGTTGATCAATCAACTTCAGACATATTATGATATTATGTATCAACTCCCACTTCCCACTGATGTCCCGGCTATCAGTGTAAGACCCAACCCACGACAGCTCATCGAGCAAGTAAAACTTTTATTGTACGAGTTTAAAGAAACTGCAATTAGACTCGGGAAGAATTCAATGTCATTTTCTTCAACTGCTTTCGGGTCTTGTTCTTATGGATAATGAGGACAAACGACGCAACAAGCCTAAAACTTTGATGGTTGATGGGATGACTTTAATCCCTCCAAAAATGCTAAGATTCAAAAGGCAAAGGGGACCGGATACAGTGAGCTTGATCACTACCTTACGACGAATTTGATACTTCCGATTTCTCGTGAACCAGTTTCGCCACAAAAATTGGACGTCTATTGGTGATCAAAGATGACTCCCGTTTATCCAATTTCGTACTTGATGGCGAAGGTGATTTTCGTTGTCCTAGCCCAACAGTGGCTGTTGAACAAGCATTATGCATGGGAGGATATACACTGGCCGCACGACAGTTGAGGATGATGCCAGAAACCTGGAGGCTCAAATGGTGCTAAAGACTGCAAAAAGGCCGAGATGAGGGCACAAAAGGCCATGCTAACTGTCGAAGATGTTGAAGATAATGAGACATATGATTTTACTACTTATACTAGTGGAACCGCCGTAAATAAAGAAGATAACTACACGTACGAATAAGATTACTAAACAATCGGTTCAATCCTTCCATGTACTTTTATCAAAGTAAATTTTGTAAGAAGTACAAGGAATTTGATTCCCGAGTTAAGGATACGTAGGAAACTTAATTGTCATATTACAAGTAAAAATATCATTGTGTAACCATAAAAATACTTCAACTTAATTGATAGTTAACTTATAATATGTCAACTAAGCTCAACTCTAATTTCTTTAAACATCCCTCTTCTCAATTTTTTTAAATAAAAATCGGCCCGGAACCAGCCGAATTAGCCCCGAACTGTCGGGCCAATGAACTGAACATGATATGCCAGTTTAGTGAACCAGACCGTGCCAACATCCGGGTCGGGTCTGGTTTCGCCAACCCTTGGCTCCGTCCCGACTGTTCCGACCCGAAACTGGGCCGGAAACAAGATTTTGCCATGTATACCAAACCCTAATGCCGCCTACAAATACCTCTGCAATCTTTCTCAATTGTACTGCAATTCCAAATGAACACGACAAATTCGCCACACCCATCTTCCCAAATTCCAATCTTTACACACACAGTTGGTGAATTAAAGAATCAAAACTCCATCAACTAAAGCCCCTAACCTCGAGCTACTCGGCCGTCGAGTCGAACACCGCTAGCACGTCGTCATCGAGAGTGGGCTCGAACAACTGTCTACATGTGAGCTACGTTGACGAGATCTTCAAGCTGCTTCGTAAGGCCCATCACATGCCATAAGAAAGATACAGGCACAACGAACAGATTGTTGGTAAAAGCATCTCCAACGGTGTTTCAATTGCAGAACATGTAGAGGCAGTGCTTGGAAAAACTTCTCCAACGGTGAATTATCTACTTCTATTTGTGATAATGTGGCATGAAAGAGACATAAATTCTATAACTCTTTCCACGTCTCAAAGTCATGTTAGACATGATGAGTCGCTATTTTTGCTCCTATTTATTTCTTATTTTTAATCAAAACTTATAATTACGTTGCAAAGTGGCGCACGCGAAAATTTGTGCGGTAACTGTTGTGCGAGAACCAAGAAAGGTTTGGGAGAGGAAAAATAAAAGAAAAAAAATGATACACTTCTTAATTATATTATAATTTTAATGGTATATACTTTGTTAAAATTATGCATTAGCATACCCAATACAACACATGAAGGGAAAAATAACATGATTTATTTACTCTAAAAAAATACCTGATACAAAAATACTTGAGGGATATCCGTTGGGTGATGGGGGACAGCGAATTCAAAGAAGCTCTTCGAAAAAAATAAACTCTAGTGTTCATATAATCTGAAGCTATGATTTAGTACAAAAACTGTTTATAGTATTTTATTTATGTTCACTCTTCAACTTTAAATAAAATTGCCGAAGGTGTGCTATATTATATTGTGAAAATGTTGTGATTTATTGATTTTATTCAGCCCACAAGTTCATTAGAACAGCCAAAAAAAAAATCG